TACATACATACATACATACATACATATGGCATATTCATATACATAGGCATACACGTATATATACATATATAATATATAAGTGTATATGTTTATGTATATGTATATATATATATATTATATATATGTGTGTGTATATGTGTATGTGTATGTATGTATATGTATATATACACAGATGTATGCATGTAAGTAGATAAATATATATATATATATATATATATATATATATATATATATATATATATATATATATATATATATATATATATATATATATATATATAAAATGTATGTATGTATGTATGTGTATATATATTTGTATGTGTATGTATATATATACATTGCATATATACACATGCATAAATACATATATACATATACATATGCATATACATGTGGATATATACATATACATACATATATACATATATCTATATATACATGTATGTGGATATATATTATATTTATGTATATGTATGTGTGTACATATGTATATGTGTGTATGTATATATATTATGTATATATACATATGTATGTATAATGAATAACAGTTGCATTTTTATGGGCAGTGTGACATTCTTCACAACAACAAAAAAGTTTACTGATTCAGTATTGATTTCTCTCTCTTTCTCTTTAGAGTTTTCAGTAGAACAATGCGCCTCTTATGCAAACTTCTGTACTATATATCCCAAACATAGGAGTTGAGTTTTTTGCCTTTTATACCACAGCAGTGAAAAAAAATTCTATATTTCAAGAATTGTATTGGTCACTGCCACATGTGTTAGGTTTGTTAGTTTATAATAAATTTCAGCTCACAGAAGATGGCAGTATTTCTTACAGAGTTTGCGTATATGGCAAAAATGATTAGACATCCATTCAAGTTTCTCTTAAGAAACGTGGTGATAATCATTCACACATATGATAGAATTTTACATTCACATACATAAGGAGTTCATACACATGCACTTGCCCATACGCATACAAATATGTATACATATTCATACAGTCTAAGCTGTTTACATCTTTGCTATATAAAGTGGCAAGCTAATTTTGATAAATTAATTACATAAAAAAATTGGTTGATAGGTAAACAAAAAAAAAAATTATTGGCTGGTTCATAACAAGTGCAACCATTGTTGGGTAATGTTTGGGCTATATAGTATGTTACATGTCCATAGAAATAATGGCCTAATACCATGTAATCATGTGTCCTGACTGTGTAAATGACTCATTCCACATAATGTGTATTATGGATAGGCCTTATGATAAAGGAGTAATCTTGCATTATATTGTTTTGTCACCCCATTAATATAAATATGCCTGTATTACTGCTTGCATAGAATTGGCAATAAAGATTCAAACTCGAACAGAAATTTTGTATGCTGCTTTAGAGTAAAGATTAATAAACGTTTTGTGTATATTACTCACCCTCCATATTTATAACATCTGTATTTGTTAAAGACTTACCAATTTATATTATATAATTCTGCCGGCCTACTAGGTACACAGATTTTTTTACACAAGGAAGTATTTTTACCATAATTGGTGCACAGGATATTGCTATCTTCAAGAAAAATAAGCCAATTTTTCAGAAAATGGTAAATCATTCAGAAACAAAATCACTTACACTGAAAATCTGTGTGGGTCCTATACCCGTCATTGGAGCAGTGGTCTAAAAAGACCCTATCATTTATTCTTCAAATCTTTATACTTGCAAACTTTGGTCCCCACAGTCAGGCTGCTTTTCTCCTGGGTCAAGTGCCCTCCTTACCTCCCATTCTTCAACAGTAAGTCCTGACATGACAGTTAATGCTAGTTAACTCGTATCTCACCACCAAACCAGTTTTCCATCTGCAATTAGTGAAAAAAGATGCTTAAGAATTCACTCTACTGATATATCATAAGCTGCCTCCTTGACCCCATTCCAACCATGCACATTTTTATATTTCTACTTTTGCTTGCTGTGTTGACACTTAAACTACCTTCCCTCAGATAATGATGTAATATCCCACTATCCTCCTCTCTCGACACATACATATCCAACAGTCTCCCAACTGCTGTTCTTTCCAGTGTCCACAAGCTATCTTACTGTAGGTTCCCCGTGATCCTCTCACCAAAGTATATTTTCCTTTTGTAACATATTTTCCACCTATAACTGCAGAACTACACACCCTAAACAACCATTCTCCACTTTCATTCCTACCAGGCACACCATATTTCCCACACACTCTTTACTGGTCTCTCCCACCTAGAATTTTAATCCTCCATCACCACATGCATATAGTTTTGCAGTTGATTCCAAAACTGAACCCAGTTACTCCCGGCCTTATCTCATCCTGACAACATTCTTAGCCTTTGTCCCTGATATCTATTAGTCTATACCAGGTTCCCAATCACCCATAATGCCACTACTCTATCTCTTCCACTGTAAACACCAGGCACTGGACATATTGCATTCTCGAACATCTGCTTTCCTTCCATTTCCACTACACACAACATTCTTCTCACACACACTTCCTATTTCTATCCTTTTAAATTCATTCACACAACACTCACGCATTCAAAAACCTGGCTCTTACAATTTTCTCCATCCCACCTAAAGTCAATATTTGATATTCTTTATTTCTGGGTAATTTACTTGTGCAATATTTTGTATTTGTGGATAAGCCCACTTGTTTGGTGAACATTTTGGTTGTGTGAAACTATCTTCACCCAATCACTTTTGAATATGAGTGTCCATCTACTTTGTGAACAATATAAACTAGGACTACATGGATCTACCTGGGTGATCTCTGATAACTCGGGGTTTAAAAGTTACATGGATGAAGAAACCAAGTTTCCAGTTTCTGGTATATTTTGAGACAACCAATGTTTAAGGAGGAGGCCTACCTTCAAAATTCAGATGGAATGTTCTTTATAAAATTCATATGTATATATATATAATATTACATATATATATGTTTGAGGAACTATTTGGCGCCATACTGATATCATGTAGTTGACTGGGTCTTTATACTGGGGTGATTGACCCATGGAAGTAGTTGCTTAGCTAATCATTGTTGGTGTTTCTCAGCCCACCATCATATCTACGATAGACTCACCTATTACCATATCTAGGTTTAACGTACCTAATATATTCAAATTCGTGTGTGCGCTCACGCGCCCACGCGCGGGCGACGCGCATGTGCATTATTGCATAGCTTCACATGCGCACAATGTATGCGTATTTGCTTAATTTGGGTGAGGCAAACCGTGTTCTTTAGTTAGTTAAAATGAGGCAAAGGAAAGAAAGAGGGCCTCCCTAAAACGACAAAGTCGACGAAGCAGTCTTCCTGGGTGATGACACCCCGCATTATGATGACTAGCTCATCAAATTGGAAACTCTCGCTAGTCACTGAACGCCACCAGGTATTTTCATAGTATATTATTTTCTTTTCCTCAAAAATGAATAAAACACGTAGAGTGTGAATCCGTTTATTACCATACCCATTTTTAGAAATATTACAGAAACATGTAAAACCTACTAAATTGCATCTTCTGAAATCTTAAATTATATTACATTATTTTTATGTCCTTTTGACCTAACTTTACCCTAATCATAAACTAATTCCTAACTATTTTTGCCGCTATACTTTACCATAGTAATTTATGATGTCAAGCATATTTATTTGTGTTTACCATTAACCATTCGATATAACTTATACCTCGTTGGACATTATTTTTCATCCAAGCTATATTTTTTTGAACTTGCGTGACAAGAACTGTAGTCAACATTTAAATCATGGTAAATACTTAGTGGAGACGTAGTAGATACTTCAGTTATTCTCATGCTTATGCTCAGTATTCACAGTGTAAAACTGGGAGTCCCCGCCGAAGAAGTGTGCGGTCGATGATATCTGTGAATTATTTAAGATTGAATTTGATATTTTCTCGTCGTGCCTTAATTCTGTCTTACAAACTTCATTATTTTTGGCATTCTTTGATCTTTTGCAATAGGGTTGGCAGCCACCATAGGGAGCTCACTGTCAGATTTGCATCATAATTCTACAAAAAGGGATGAAGATAAAGCTAAAACTCTCGGGTAAGAATACCACGAAAGGTCTTTATATCGTTCGAATGGAATTTATCACCTTTAGACACGATTCTGCTAAAACTCGCTCATTTTCCTTCTCTGTCTTTTGGTATAGTCATTTATCATGCAATACATTGCTAAATCAATTCATTCACAAAAATGTTCACTGTTCATCCACACAAAAAAAAAAATCGAATAACCTTTGGGTGAAATAACCATACAACGTCCAGAATATCAGAAAAAAATGTTAATTCACCCATGAAAGAAATAGTGTTGAGGGCATCAAACTCCAGTAAATAAAATTAAAATATTATATATTGTGAATATGCGTTATGCAGTTATTATGCTGTCAAGTTAAGTATAGGATGAAAGATCCATTTTCTTTGGTCTCTGTAAACCCGTTTTCGTTCTTCTTACATTCATAAGTACTTAAAAATATATCTTATTGTAAATGCAGTGCGCAAATGTTTGATATTTCTCTAATTTACAAGGGTAAAGTAAATCTCGTTTGCTCGAAACTTATCACTTGTAGCCATAATAACCATAAGTACATTTATTGTGCATAGACGTCTTCCGGCCGTCAGCGGGTCGTGGCTGCCGGGGTCAGGCCTAATAATTTGTCCTGGATTTCTATATCGTGTGTTTGCTTAAATGTTAACGGTTTTATTAAGTCAGTATTCCAGCAGAGTAGTTTATACTCCCATGGTTCTATTTATATTATTTATTTATATTTAATGTTAGTGAACGGTGGTTGAGTTAGTGATTAGTTGT